AATTAAAATCCTTTTTTTTGAAGTGAGAACTCATTGCCTGGGTTATTTTTTTTTCTCAAAATATGTGGAGTATAAAATACTACTACTGATCATTTTTTGTACTTTGTCATCTGGTGGTAAGCGTTGATACGGTCTACAATGGCTTGGGCTTGAAACTAATACGACCTTATTACAAAACAAGGTTTTACTTTAGTCTAGGACTAAACCATTGAGCCAGTTTTTGTATTTCGAATTGAAGGTAGATGACAATAAGGTTCAAAATTCAAAACCCGACTCAATGGTTTAAACCTGGACTAAAGATAAATCTTGTTTTGTAATAAGGGGGATAGAGTTTTTCTCAGTTAATATACGTAAGTCGAAGTTTCAATAAATTTAGTTTGCTTCTTTTATTGACGTATAATAGTCAGCTACAAGTAGCCAACCTGCTAGCTCCCGTACAGTCAAAAAATGTCATAGATTGAATTTCTTCATCCAACGTTCTTTCAACAACACACTTCACACATAATCATCATCTGCCTATAAGTGCCCACTGCTGAGCAAAGGCCTCTTCTCATACGGAGAAAGTTAGAGTATTAATCACCACGCTTGCTTAATGCTGTTTTGCGATTTCAAACTTATAATAAGAAATTATAAGTCCAGGTTTCCTCTGTCATACATAATGTCACACTGCAACTACTCAAGCAACAAGGTAGTTCCGTAAATCACCGACTTAAAGTACTATATTCTCTCTAACGTTTTACTGTTGGCTCTTTCTCGACTATTACACGCATACAAAGGATAAATAACAAACTACAATATAACTGCACTGAATGTGTTATTTTCCGCTTAAAATGTGACCTTAGAGAGGAAACTTCCTTCAAACATTTACAAACTTAGGACAAACATGTTCGCTTGAGTAACCGCATTATTTGAGGGAGGTTAGGGTCTATATTTGAATGTTCTTAGGGTTATAGCACTAACTAAAAATAACTGTGTGGTGATGTACGAAGGTCCAGTTTTGTTTTGTATAAAAACAACATTTCATATACATACAAATGTAGTGTTGAAAACCAAAATCATATTTCAACCATACCAAGCGACACATATTTGCGAATTCAGTTTTCCAAAATAAAATCTTGACTAGGAAATAGTTTGAGTAGTCATTAATAATGGCTTTGAGAATGGCAGCCTCACTGGTTATTGTTGTTTTTTTTCCATATCTGTAAGTTTTAGATTTGACCTAAATTATATTCTGGACACGTATAGTGATAGGTTTCAGTTTTCCAGAGACATGTTACAAATAAATGGTCATTTTTTTCCACTAAAAATAATATCAACTCATTTCTACACCAAACTTACGACAGAGAAATCTCATAAGTGTTTTAAAAGCTTTTAATGTCCCCATTTACCTCCCACTAAGTAACTGATATTTCCTCTCACGTAATTATTATTTTTATATTTAATAGAAGTGGCTACAGAAATCTGGGGCACCTCAAAATCAATACCATTTAGTGGACTGTGTGTTTCGAAAAGTAACTTTCATTTCTTTCAAGCTACTCAGAGTGGAACCAAACAGAAGCGCCTTCTGATAAACCTGACTCTATTGAACTTATTTCTCCAATCGGCTTTCTAGACGTAGAAGTGCCAACTAAGTGCCAACTAGTACAAATGCTCACACCAATGAGATTTGACCATTTATCACAACGATGTCTCAAAGTGGTTTGGCGATTGCAAACATATAATTAGAAATTATAAGTCCAAGTTATTCTTATGATTTTTTCTTCCGTTGTCTATATAATCAATAGAAAGCACATATAACTCAGAAATGGTACTTGCCAGGTTTTTAAGAACTCGGGCCCTCATGTGAGCCGGAAAAAAAAAGATTTCGAATATTTGGAATTTTCGAATCAAATTGAGAAGCCGTCTCCTCCTTCTACAAAACAGTCATGCTCGCTAAGAAAGAGACGGAACGATGATCCTCTTCAAGTTCAGTCTTTACTGGAGATGCTCCGAACACGAGAAGTCGCGCGATAATGTAACGGACTGTTATTTTTACTACCGTGTGAGTAAGGTTACCGGAGGCCCAATCATTATCCACTCCCCTGGCCATTTCCAATCCTTAAATATCCGCAACCCTAATCCCCAAAAGACCGGCGACGGCAACGTACTAGTTACTTCTTTGGTGTTGCAGGTATCTATGGGTGGCGCCAATTGCTTACCATCAGGTAATCCATCTGCTCGTTTGCCGACTTATTCCATAAAAAAACGAAGAGTTTATTAAACGACAGAACAGACAATGAAACGACAGTTTTGTCTATACAATTATTTGAAAAATAGACTATAATATTGACATGACTATACTTTTGTCATAATTATATTTAAGTTGTTTGTTGTTGGCTGTAAAAGAAATACAATATGACTATTTATCATTATTTTCCAATTTCTTTTCGTGGTTATTTTCCGATCATCTATTTTGGGAGTGATGTTTTTAAAGTTCATTAACATGACATAAAAGTATTCATTCATTGATCAAATTGTATTTTACTGGTATTAAAGGTCTATATAATTACAGTGTTGATTAATGTAGACTATTATCGTGAAGAGAAAATATTGGAAAATTTAAGGTTTCGTTTTCAGCAGTTGAAATAGCAACCTTTGTCATCCATCAATATTAATACTTCAACCATAAAAATCTTCGAGTTACTTTAATTCTTTATAAAAACTTAATCTCAATTAAAAGAAAAAGGCTCCAAAATTTTCCTTTTTATCAACACGTAAGGTTCCAAAGTGTTCAATGTATTGCGTGATCACTGGCTCATCCAACTACACGTACCAGTATAAACTGATCGGCATTAAGGCAGTCACATCAATGTCCAGAGATCTAGTTATATTGGAAAGTATAGTATGGGTTACTGTTCTATACGGGTGGCCCATTATGTGAAGCGACTCATCCAACCAGTTTAATGTATAGGCCTTTTGTTAAGAGGCTTTTTGGCTTGTATTTATTTCCTTATCTCGTTTGTGATCACGTGAGGTGATTGAGTTAAATGCATTGTTATTTGAGGTAAACATTAGTGTCAGTAGGGGTTGCTGGCCTTTCGCAATAATGTACGGTGGTTTCGGCCTGAAGCAGAACAAAAAACTAAGGGAGAGTCGTGCATCGGCTCGAATAGGTCGGTCGACCGAAGTTATACCACAGAAAACCGGCGTGAAATTAGCACGGCGTTGTATTTCGCCGTGTGAGTGAGTTTACCACTAGAGTTTACTACTCCTAATCGCTTCTTAATACCTAAATGTCCACAACTCTAATCCCCTAAAAGCAACAACGCAACGCAATCGTAACTCCTCCATTGCTACGGGTATCTAAAGACGGCGCTGTTTGCTACCACCAGATAATAGGCTCGATTGCCATCCTATTACATAAAAAAGAGTGGCTTTTAGTCAGTCGGAGTGATACTCCCTCTCGTCTCGCTCAAGAAAAGAAAATCCATTTGATGATTTCCCTTCTATATAATTTACAAAGATTGTAATACAAGTTATCGTTAATCTGACCTATTTCATTAGTTAATTATGAGCCTTTTTATCATATAAGGGTTTCAATTAATCACCACGCGATAAATAATGCCTAGTGTCTGTTAGATATGTTCCCTTTTAAATGGCTGCAACAATTCCTGATAGAAGACATATGTCTTAAACGCAAGGAAAACAGGGTTTTATGTTATTAAACTGAGAGTTTTGATGGTTACTCGAATGACATATATGTGCCTGATCTCTTTATAAAACTCACGAACAAATCATGATGAGTAAGAAGGTTGGGACCAGCTCGACACATAAGCCACTGCTTACCACGGTAGCTAGAATCTACAGTAATTACCAAATGAAAACTCAGTGAATCAGGATCCCGCAACGAAATAAATCAGAAGACAATACAAAATTCCTTCAGGATTTAAAGCAAGTCAATAAGTATGGTTACTCATAAATAAGTTAAAAAGTATAGTAATGGAATCTCCTTCAATATAAAAACATTGATTTTCGAAACATTAACAGTCTAAGTTCACCACCGCGTTCTACCTTCGAACGTTCTTTAAAGAATACGAGCACGATATTACATAACCTGTCACATTTCAAGCGAACCTTTTAAAACATTGTGACCCGAAACCTTTTTGTTCCAAAAATAAATAGTATAATACATTCAGAACATTGTAAAGAGTTTTGCAAATAGCACAAAAGTACTATCAGCAAACGTTTTCCATATAAACATGATTGTAAAAGTTGTTTCGTTACGATTTGGTGTGGCATGTTGCCAATCCATCGAATGCTGGTTTCAGTATCAGATACATAACGCTTTATTTTCATGTAAAATTTGGTAAATTGTTACGATAATAATTATGACAAAAAAGTATTAATGTTGTTTTTATTTTATTTTTTATTTTCAAATGGCGCTCATAATGAAAACTTATACATGTCAAACTTAGTATTTAAAAAAATGTGGAGGCCCGGAGGTTACAGAAGCCCGCTTGTCAAACATGAAACTGCAAGTTCCACAAAACCTGACAAGTACCAATGTTACTTTTTCTAAGTCATTGTATACTTTCCAAACGTATTAAGACAACACCGACAAACAGTTAAGGAAAACGTGGATAAGAAACATAGACTTGTAATTTCTAATTAGAAATTTGAAATCACCAATCCGCCTTGAGCAAACATGGTGATTAAAGCTTAAACCTTCTTCGTATGAGAAAAGGGCTTCGCTTAGCAGTAGGCACTTGAATGATGGTAGTGATTCCTAAACCAAAATGAATATACATAGGTGCCAGCAAATTCATCTATTTTAATCTATCAAACAAGACATTTTCCACTGTATTATTTTGTAATAAATTCCAAAATCTATTGAATGAACATTACACATTTATTTACATCTATCTACAGCTGAAAATGATCAACATCAGAGAGTATTATTTATACATAGAAAATTAATTACAATGACATTTTTCTTAATATAGTTTTAAATGTAAGCAACGTTATCCAAATTCTTGATGGTTTTGTAAGAAGATCATTCTCAAACCGATTATAGTCACCAGTAGGTGGATTAATAGGTGTGTCTGTGTATTTGATGCTGAGGAATTGTTGCCATGTTGCATTGCAGCTGGGGTTTCACCTGTGGACAAAGAAGAAAAAATATTAATATACATATGTATCTTTATACAGTTTTAATATTTTTTTCATATTGTTATATTGATGTAATTTCTTTTTATACGATTATACTGTTTGAATTATGTTTTATTCGTTTATCGTGAAGGATTTTGAGGAAATAAAATGTACATTATGACACGTATCACCGAAGATTCGATTATAATATTAATGTCTACGTATTTATAAATGAAGTTGTATTTAATAAATATAAAAATGAATTTCTTAATCTCTATTCCAAGCAATCTTTTATTAAGTTAAAGGGATGCTCGATTCGTTAAAATAACAAATTAAATTTTTGTTATCATCTCCCGGACTTAGCAAGCGTTATGAATGATTTTAATTCCTTTACAATGTGAGAAGTGTTTTTTTACTAGTATAGTTTACTCACAACATAATAACTTAAATAAATTAATTTAATTTAATAACATTGCAGAAAACAAAACAACTTTATCAATATATCTTCAGAAATCTTAAACTAAAATCCACTTCAAATATTAATACCATTATTGACACTCGCAACAGAAAGTGTTTCTCACAAGTATTTTAAACTCTCAACTTCATATCGACTTTTATGGCTTAAAACTCTTTTATCTTTGGAAAACATTTTGAAACTCAGTTCCAATTTTAAGCTAAAGGAGTTTCTTATATTGTTCATTGTTTATGAGGAAGTAGTTTTTTTTATTTTAGTCAGATACAATTTTGCACAAATTTTAATGGTCTGACTCAACTGTAGGTCTACTAGGTCTACCATGACTGATGAGCCTTTTATAGCTCCAGCCCTCTTTCTCGCCCGGAAGATTGACGCTTTTACACGATATGGTAGGCCGTCTGGAGTGATATCTCTGCTTTACAGAAAACCGGCATAAACCAAGCTTGCCTTATGTATCGCCGTAAGAGTAAGATAAGCTGAATCTCCAAAATCTAGAATCCTGAGTACATCAGCAAAGTACTGGATGTGTCCATGGGCAGAGCCTTGCTTACCATCAGATAATCGAAATACACACTTGATCAAGGACGGCGTTCATTTGTAAAAATAATTGTACAAAAAATTAAATAGAATAATTATTATTATTAAGGGCTGATTTTTCAATGGTTAGATAGAAGCTATCTGTGGAATAATTATGATGCTGTCGCGTCAGAATGTTTGTATAGGTAAGACAGTGACAGTAACAATTTTATTCCTCAGAAACCATTTATCTGACTATTGAAAAGTGACAACAATATTTGGATTATATTATTGAGATCGTTCAACCAAATTTGAATCGTAGTATGTATATAAAAAAGGTTTGAATTAAAATGATAGCTACAGTACATAAAAACCCTACTAAATAGCGTGTTCGAAACTTAGCCTAGTCTTCTAGAGAAAACTAATTTATTTTAAAACTTTATTCAGAGTATTACGGTTCAAGAATCTTGAAGAGTTTTAGGTCGAAACAAATGACAATAATGTAATTACTCGTCTAGAATAAACAAGAAAAACTTTGCAATGATTAACTTCCTAATTTATTAACTGTACTAATTGGGCGTGCGTTTAGCTTGTTTCTCTTTTACGTTGGGTTCCGTGATAAAAACCCAGGCGTTTTTTAACAAGTGACACTGTTTTTTTAAAGGATATTTCAGTCATCATCATCAACCTATAAGTGATATGTGCCCACTACTGAGCAAAGGCCTCTTCTCACACGGAGAAGGTTTGAGCATTAATAAGATATTTCAGTAGTTGATCGTATTTAGATTTTTAGGCATTTCAATCGTGGCAATTCAAGACATAATTGGTGCGCTAACGCTTGGGGATTGCTGAATTATTGTGAGTTGGCGGCGGGCTTGTCCAAATAAAAAAAAAGACTTCTAAAGAAGTTTAAGTTTTTTCTATAGTAGCTGATCATTTGCACACAGTCTGCTAGCCGCACTTATGGCAAACGACCAACGAATTAAACGAACAAAATTATTGGATGATAGCCAGTTAAACAATCACTACAGTGATTTTTTTTTTTTTATAGTTTCCAATAAGTTGAAAACTATAAAAAAAACATTTTGAAACATTGGTTTAAAACTTATTACTGGCCCAAGAACCCCTTAAAAACCTGTAGGTACACAAAACAAAGCTCGCACTCTCTGTGTTTTTACGACACTTTTAAAGAATTAAGATGGCCCACGAAATCCAATTACAGAAATGTACTTAGGTTTTCCATCTGTTCTGTCTTCGAAATGACAATTTACCTTCATCTATTACTTTAAATTCATTAGCCTTTGTAGCGTCTCCTCAATCTCATAAAACATTTGTACCAAGAACGAAATTATATTTACATAATGAATTTTCTAATTTAACATAATTTTGTGCCAAATATTTTATCAGTTGCTGGAACGCGTTAGTGTAGGAGAACCATTCTTCGACACGAATTGCCCTCCCACAATCTCTCTTCAATCCCTAAATCTTCAAATCCCTAATCCCTATACGGTCGGCAACGCACTCGTACCTCCTCTGTTGCGGGTGTCCATGGGCGGCGCTGATTGCTTACCATCAGGTTATCCGTCTGCTCGTTTGCCGAACTATTACATAAAAAAAACTGATGGGCCAGCTCGAGCGGAGTGATACCACGGCCTTACAGAAAACCGGCGTGAAACAACACTGACACGTTTTTTCGCCGTGTGAGTGAGGTTACCGGAGACCTAATCCGCCCTTCGTCCTGGACCCTCAAACCCCTATCTTTAAATTCCTAATAACCCACAAGAGATGGACAATGCACTTATATTAACTCCTTTAGTAGTGAGAGTGTCCATGGGTGGCGCCGTATGCTTATCTACCTATTTTTTTGACATAAAAACGCGTTTTAGGTTATGGCGTCACATTCGCGATGGATAAAATCATTTTTTATTATACAACCGATCTTTTTGTCGTGTCTTCAAATAAATTACTGTTAATAGAGCATTTAAGCAGAAAGGAAGGAAAAGGAATAAAAATAATGTTTATTTTTTGCCAGTTTATTAATAGGAGTGCTGGAACATTTCTTTGTTGTCTCATTTCCATATTTTGGTGTTATTGTTATTCTCTTTTTGAAATTGTCTTTTGATTTTCGTGAGAAACATTTTTAGATTCTAAATTTAAAATTTTCTTTGGGTTTAGATTGGAATTTTACAAATATTGATACGATGTTTAAATTAACATTTCTAGCAAGAAGGATACTTTCGATTTTTTTTAAAGAACATGGCTAAGCTGTCATTAGGAAGCAGAATTTAATCACAAAATGACTAATAGGCGTAGTTTATTATTGACTAGCAGACTCAGCAACGCGTTTTGCGGATAAGGTAAATAAAGTCAAAGTCAAAATCATTTATTTCAATTAGACCCATACAGGCACTTTTGAACGTCAAACAAAATTTTAAAGATATAAAGCTATTCGCTCGTTCCAAAGTGTAGATTCCGATGGAGAAGAACGAGCAAGAAACTCCATGGTTACTCTTCTAAAATCAGTGTCACATAAAGATTCTTTGATACATTATTTAGTTGGTTTGAATATGTGAGAACAGTGTAACGCGTGTATACAGAGAAACATAGAAAGAGAATAACTTTAAGGACAATAGACAGTCCGGAGCTGACAAGTAAATAATATTGTGACTATAAATTGAGATGTAAGCTATCCTATCTTTCAAGTTGGATCAAAATGCAAATCAAATTTAAAATCGGTTTCGTAGTTTAGGAGTCCATCGCGGACAAACACGTGACACGAAATTTTTATATGTAGAGATAAAGTTTCGTGATTAATGTTTTGTTTGTATTAATTTCTGTTTGAAGAAAAGAAGCTTAAGTACTTATAAACTCAATAAAAAATAGTATTATTTTACTAAAATCAAATGCCGATTCCAATCTAATTTCACGCAAATACCAATAAAATCAACTAGATTTTTATACTTTACATCTTATATGGGAATATAATCTTTAAGCCTGTTGAGTTAATGTCTTTTTTTGGAACTCAATATCCGATTACTCTACGAGGAGAAAATTGAATCTTCGCTACCACCGTCTTTATTTTCAGAGTTCTGTAATATACATTAGAGATCTTGTTAAAAAAGGGGTGGTCGGATTACTAAAATATACTAAACCAAACGCATCTATGTAAATAAGTTTAAATTTCAGTTTCTTTTTTATTTTATTTTATTACTTTGATGTATCGATAATACTATGAATTTTCTTGTTAGTCTTTAAGCAATTAAATATGTTACTACATTAAGAAAGTCAATGCAGTTTGACAGAAAAAGAAAATATATCAGAAATTAATAGCCTAGTTTACGCACGGGATAGTCATGCTCACTCGAGCGAGAATGGGTCGGCTTGACCGGTGTTACACCACGGTCTTACAGAAAACCGGCGTAGTACAACCACAGAGTTATGTTTCGATGATGTTCCATATGAAAGCCTCAATCCTTCTTCCCCCTAAATCTCCGGATTCCAAATCCTCAAAAGGCCGGCAACGCACTCATTTTGTAGATGTTTACATTATTTCTGAAGCCATAAAAATATACCGTACCTACAAAATTATAGACTGCATAACAGAGTCTTCGTCGAAAACGTTTATAGTAAATGAAACTCTTAGGTAATTATTTCACAAAAATACCACGTACAATTCAAAGTTATGAATTCTTCAAACACATTTATTTGAGGTCATGGTTGAGTTTAGAACGTCAACAGGCTTACGTTGCTCAAACAGAATCTATTGACAGGTTTCTGAACCAAATCCTTTGTTGATGTTGAACCAAAGACTGTTCTGGGACTAATTGATTTTCTCTGACGCCCGAAGTGCGAAAACCTCTTGCGCTTGCTGTGTCAAAATCTAGGTACGTTGTCTAGGTAAAACACTTTTTGATTGACCCTTGAAGAGGAGGTAATGTCTTAAGTTTTTAGTACTTGTTTATGTTCTTCTTTAAATTAAAATTTAATTAAAAATTGTTTATTTTTCCACCACATATTTTACAGGTACAGTTTAAGTGGTTACAGATTCTACATAGATATAGAAGTAGTAGATTATGGGGTGGACTGGAGCCTAAACTAGGGAAAACCCTGTATTTCAGGCTTTTAGGACTCCAGGACCCACGGTATAGATACATTGTTAAAAAGGAGAAAAAAAAACTCTACACTGATTTTAATATAAGGATGAATTCTGAATTCTCCTGAATGTGCTTATTTATTCCATCGTATTCAGACTTTATCTTGTCTTGAAGTCCAATTTTTCGGTTCCTCATTCTAATTTTATGTGACAGGACGCCAAATGGGCAGACACATCACATGGTTAGCAATTGGGACACTACAACACCGGTTGAGTAGCGAGTGCTTTGCCATTTTCGGATAAGAATTCGGAGATTTAAAGTTTAGGGGAAGAAAAAAAGTAACACAACGCTTTGGGTATTTCAAGCCAGTCGAGCCGACCAATCCGTGCTGAAGCTTGGCTCTACTCCATTCTATTCATATTTTCTATGACAATTCAAACACTACAAATATTTTATCGCACAGGTTATTCTTTAAGAATAATATGTTTACTTTAAGGCACCAAGTTTTTATAAAAAAATATTAAAAAAACAAATTTTTCTTTTTTTTTTCCTACATTAACAAGGAAGCTTTACATTGGTTTGCAAATATAAACTTTATTTCCATTGCATAAAAGTATAAACGAGAACGACTGCAAAGCACTGAAGATGCCGTTTGAAGTCTGAATTAATGTTTGTACTACTTTGAATTTTACTGTGCTGAAAATAAAGTATATTATTCAATGTATTAAAAAAATTTTACTCCTTCAACGTACCCTACATTGAAGGGTACAACGTACCCACACAGCACAGCGACCTCGGCCCAGAGCAGGAGAAGGAATAGGGGGGTTTTTAGTCAGTTAGAGTTTGACACTCCCTCCCGCCCAGCCCTGGGCGGGAGAAGTCATTTGACGATTTTCCCCTCATAAAAAAAACATTATTTGTCATTAATTGTTGAATACACAATTTACGTTCAAAATCAGTTTACAATTACTTACATTTTTCGCAGTAACATAATACATATTATAAACTTAAAGAAAAACTTGCTCAGAGAAGATTGAGGGAAAGTAGAGCCTTTTGCCTTGAAGTTGAATGATAAAGGCTAAAAATAATATTACATAATTAAAACCAGTTGGCTGCGCAACGTACCCGCCGCTCTAGCCGCTCATGGGTAAGAGTCCCACTGTGACTTGAAAATAGTTGAGCGTTTTTCAGTCAATTCATCATCATTAAAACAAGTTGAACCAGTTCTTAATATCATGCTCTGACTTAACAGGAAATAGGAGAATGTGTATTAAAAACCCAGCGACACAGATCCGTCAAATCAAATCAAATTAAATCATTTATTAGGTGACTAAAATACAGATATTATAATGTTGTTGACACAGAGCGCTATGTTATGCCAGGAGGCATACAAATTAAATATGGTGTAATAATCTACATAATTGAGGAATAAAAAAATAAAATTAATAAAATTTGAAAATCTTGTACAATTATTAAATTATAAGTAATACAAAACAAATTACATGTCAGTTATTAATTACTCCAGATAAGTCAGAATAGGTCGAGAGGTATAAACATTTTTTCATGTTCAGGTTTAGCAAATACGCACTTAAATAGTGTTTTAATAATATTGCATTTTATTCTAATCAATTGGGACTGCGCATGGATACTCATAACATCGGCATCGCCCGTCTTGTTTTTGGATTTGATCTGGGGTGTGATTCTGTAAGACTTCATTCTAAACTTCGAATCTGAATCCGCTGTGAGTAGTAGTACGCTAGCGCTACACTTGCGAGTTGAACTAAATTGACAGCAACATTTTGATAGATAAAGTATGAGATGACGTTAAAAGTGGCATTCTAAAATTTAATTACCCCGTCACTTCGACACTCACTTCGCACTCGAACAAGATTCAAAATCAAACAAATTTTATAGAATCGACGTGCAGATCTGATCAGGGATTTGGAGGATCAAGATTTTGGCAATCTCATCTATACGGCGAAACACAATGCAAGGGTAATTTCACTGTCTTTTTTTTTGTAAGACGGATTCTGATGTGCCAAAGCATGGTTCACAAACGTGAATATTTTATTCCTAATATACAGAGTATAGTAAATAAATAAGAAAGGATGTAACTACTTACTCTGTACAACATGGACCGTTACAGATGCTGCTTTTGCATTAGCTGGCACGCAAGTATAGTTTCCGGCATGACGAGGCTCCGCCTTACCAATGACCAGCTCGCTTGTCTGACGTCCATTGTGAACACTCACGCCATCTGTGTCAACAAAATGGAAATGTTTAGAACATGTCAAATTGCTTCTGTTTTTTGTATGGATAAGACTCTGTGAATCTTATAATTTTAGTCGATTCGCTTAAGTACCAATGTATTGTTTTTTCTCAAAGTAATATTTCCATCCTTGTCCTGGATAACTCAAAAATATCAGACTTTGGTACACAATAGTAAAACAAAACATCGAACAAAGGAATTTATCCGGAGAGAAAATCCATATTTTGTATTCAAAACAAAACAATCCCCTCTACACAACTAGACCAACCCATACACCAGTATTTCAGCTTCTACAACATAAATAATTTATTTATTTCGCAAGACTCGCCACTCACTCCAGATTGAAATACAAGTAAAAGACAAAACAGAATGTCCACTTTAAGATCTTTTAAATTGGGTCACGAGCGTTTTATTTACATTAGCCGGAATGCTCTAGAAAATTCTTTAGACAAACAATATAGGTACTTGATGGTGAAAAGGATTGTGTTACTTGATTTGAAGTGAAATTTCTTTATTATGAACCTTATTTAGAACGAAATACAATCTGTTTTGAAACTAGAGGTTGTTGTACCAATACACAAAATATCGATTTACATTTTGTGTATTGGTGATAGAATAGAATGGTCTAGTTGTAATTCCTTCTCTTCCTGATATAAGAGCCTTGGCATAATATGTCAGATGCCTTCTTTCTCAGGTGCTAAATCTGCTATCTCCAATCCGTATGCTAATCGTAAAGATTTTAAAACGAAGTTTTATGATGTTAACCTTATGGTTGATTGTGCTTTGAAGGGGTTGGTTGGGAAGGTCGATCTTGTGTGAAGTTAAGTGCGAAACTAAACCAAGGATGATATTTTGAATTGGAATTCGATTTAAGACATTATTATCCGTTCTTTCTCCATATTGCAATTCTGAGCACGTAGATTGGTTTTCAGAGAAAAGATGTGAGAATAATTTATGAAATATGAATATAGGTTATGTCTCAAAGTGGCGGCATTCGGCTTGTATTAGTGCCCTTCTTTTCCTGTCTTCAATGTCTTAATCATTATTAACGGAGAGAGAGGGAGTGTCAGACTCTTACTGACTAAATACTATCTCGTTCCTTCTCCAAATCCGGGACGAGGCCTCGTTACGTTATTGGAATTATATTCGCAACTTCTGGATCACTAATGTCTGTAGTGTATTAAGGAAATTCAAGTTGTTGTGATTGTACTATTATGAGTATTGAAACTACTTAGTTAATTTAGCTCTTAATAAAGAAATAATGTTCATTTTGTGATCTGATAACATATACACACATAGATAGATTTTTAATTAAGTTAATTAAATTTTTATTGCCTTGAAAAGAGTTACTAAAGCGGAACACGTGAAGACACTAATGTCTTCACACACACAGGTAAAATTTAAGATGTCACGAGGCTGGATAGATTTTTAGCTCAGGATATTTTAAGGTTTCTATTTTATTTTTATAACTAGCTTTCGTCTGCGGCTTCGCACACGCGTTAAAAAGTAATGTATTCCGGTATTTTTTTTTTTAAATTGTCCTGCTCTCGTGGGAATATTGCAACATCTTGTAGCAATTGTTAAGCTTTAAGTTTACTAAGGTACCTGCTTGCCAAATTTTAAACGTCTAGCTTTTTCATACAAAAGGATTTTCCTGCTAATTTCTGTTCCCGTGGGAATTTCGGGAATTCCTATCTTAGTAGCACCTCCATGGTATCTAAGCTACGTCCCTTTCAAATTTCAAGCGTCTAAGTTTAGCCATGTAGGCTATGCGTTGATACGTCAGTCAGTCAGTTTATCTATATAATGTATATAAAAATGAATAGCAAAATATGTTGATAAGCGCAAAACTCAATAACACCTGGATGTTGTTGTTATGTGTTATTGTCAGGAGAAGGTTCTTATGAAAGAAAATTTTAGAAAAGTAGAGGGGAGAGTTGTGCAATAGGAACCCTTTCATCGTAAGCGAGATGATGAGACCCATGCGAAGCAGGGGCGAGCTGCTAGTCCTTTTATATATTTAGATTGGACACGAAGTTCATAAACGTACCTCGTTTATGAGTATAAACATATATGCATTAAGATGTTCCGATATAAGTGTATAGGTTAGAAGCCACATGTTCATGATTAAGTAACCTTGTGCATAATTACATATCGTCACTAATCCGTAATTCAAAGGCTAATAGGCTTAATATAATAAGGCAAATGTTAATCGCTTGATCAAGGATTAGGATATCAATATGTAATGTAAACAGCCAGGTTACCTAAATATCGAACAATGGAATTCCCTGCATGATCGGCCAAGTAGCATAGCATAACTTGTAAAATCTAAACAGTTTTCAATATTTTTTCCAAAGTAGTTCACTATGGAACGATAATAAAGATTTATGGAAAAAAGGAAAAGTGTGGGAGAGCCATGTTTCGACACGAATGGTTCAGCTCGACCGAAGTGATACCACAGCCTCACAAAAAACAACCAACAACCACAGCGTTGTGTTTCGCCGTATGATTGAGATTAATGGAGACTCAATCCTTTCCCTTCCCCAAGCCCAAAATCTCCAAATTTCCAAATCCCCAAAACTAACTAAACACTCCTAACCCCTCCGTTACTGCGGAGTCCATGGTTGGTGCTGATTGCTTACTGACTGCGAACCTATCCCATAAAAAAAAATATTTAAGGAAAAAAATATTAGAACAAATCACATTGAAACACACGCTAAGTAAACTTAATAATTAAGGATAGAAAGAGATCCCCAAAGGATTAAGGTAGGAAATAAGAAAGAGGTTTGCGTCTAATATGTAAAGAGTTCCACAACAGAATCAAATGAAATGCAATGACAAAATAGCTTTGAAAAGATATAAAAACACTATTAAACTTGTAACAGAAGGTTCAAAATTGATTTCATCACTATGCAATGAACCCCTCATCCAAGCGAAGGTCTGCATTCTCACAGAATAGGTTTGAGCTACTAATACCGGATTAGCGATTTTAAGCTTATATTTATTAATGTCTCCTTTATATTATTTTACCCTTCGGTGTGTTGGATAGTAGGTTTTACGTTTGTTTAGAAATGTCGTTGAATTTAATTCACCACAACTAGCGTTACACTCTACCATTAATAAGATGAATTCTAAGCGCGAATGAAGAACGAAAAAGCACTATTCCAAATCTATTACAACTCACGATGACTTAGCAAATGAATCTAAATTGAAATGCATTTATCAAAAGCGAGGAAGGATAAGATTCCTTAACAATAAATCCATCCCTACTTTCCTTGGCACAAGGGAAATATGTATACATACCTACGTACTTTAATATATTTGTACCATTTCTTTTGCTTGGTACCTACCTGACTACTAACGAAGTACAATGCTCAAGGGATTTACTCAAGCTTACAGCTTTGTCAGACTTTGGCAAAATGGCGTCGCCCATTGTAAAAGAAATAGTTGTTATTTGTTTTGAAGTATTTTTCTGTACCAGATTATCTGTATTGGTAATGAAAGTTTCTTCAGGCTTTGTAAATTGTTTTCGCACTATATTTTTTTGTTAAAGGATTATGGACCGCTTTAATTTGATCATGTTTTCTAAAAGACTTCATAGTTTGTGCCGTATAATATAATATTGTCCATGGACAGATGACAATTTCTTTTCATTTACAAATAAATTCCCTTCTACTCCGGGTGAAGGGGCACCATGTAACGCAGATGTAAAAGTAGCAGAGAGAAAGTAGTTGACTTACCCCATTCGTGCAACTTTTTTGGTAGCTTTTCCAAACTAGATTAAGAATATTATATAATAGATAAATAAAAAATGCTAATTTTGTTTTGACAAAGAGCTTAAAAGATTACTGAAAATCTGTAGTATATTATGAACAAATTGTAATAAAAGATATTTTTCTTTAAAAATGTTTGCGTCTGGCAAATATCCAAACTAAATTATTATAAATGCGAAACTAACTCTATTTGAAAGTAACGCTTAAACTACTGAACGTATTTGTGTAAAATTTGGTACACACTTATACAGTTTGGAAAGCGAGAAAGGACATAGGATAGTTTATATATCAAAAATTTGCAGGAAGTCACTATTTCATGCGAACGAAGTCGCAGGTGAAAACTAGTTTTTTATAATTAATAAATTAATTCAAAATTTCTTGAATTTTGTTCTGATCATGGTTACAGTTACGTTGACAAGCCTAAAGAAAAAGCCACCAAATACAGTTTAGAAAAAATAAATTTATTTTTTTAAATATGCCATAAAACACACTTTTACACGTCAACGTTATGTACATAATAAATCTAAATGAAGCCGAATAAGAAATACCAACGAGCCTTTTGAATAAAAAACAGTTAGCAGCTATTTATTTCCAGCTCAAAAATCTTCTTTAATTATAAAAACAAATCCATACCAGCCGTCCTGTTAATTCAGCAAACTAAACGAAAGTAAAAAATACTAATTACGAGCATGATCCCACTTGGCATAAAACTGCAGCAATGCGCAACGCAACCGTACAACTTTCCGTTTGCAGTTTTTGTACCGTACATTGATGGATGCAACTTCAAATTATTTTATGCTGGGAACAGAATTCACGATGTAATTAACACTTTGCCCTCGAGCGTTCGCGAATTCTTTTCTTACTTAATGTTTTCTTGTGAAGATTCGTACGTTTTATAATTTTATTTTAGCTCCATATTGGTTGAGTCTGATTCAATTTCGTAGTCGTCTTCCTTTTAGATTTTTATTTTCTTATTATGAATTGCTTTATAAGATTTATTTTGCTGTTATTGTTAGTACGTTTCATAGAAATTTAAACGACAAAAATTGGCTCCGGCAACCTCTCTCCCTCTCACACCACGAAACACGACGCTAGGGTTGCTTCACGCCAGTTTTCTATGGGCACGTGGTATCAACCATTCATGCGAAGCATCAGCAGTAGCATTTTATTGACTAAAACACCTTGTTCCTTTTCCTAGTCAAGAAAGAGGCTAGTTTGGTATTTCTCCCATAACCCCAGCTGATAATAGAAACTTCCTAAGAAATACTTGAAACATTTTAATGGATGATATTTCTTGTTTGATTACCCCTTGAAAATCTACTTCCCATAGAAAATCCACTTAGTTGAATTAATGTGAATGTAATATGAAAAACCTCTTCCCTTCTCCCCCAACCACCCTTTTCGTTCAAAAGAGCAAATAGTGCAAATCCTAGCTTTTACGTCGACATCTCTAACAATATTTATTTTACTATGGATACTAAAATTATTTAAAAACTTGGTCTCAAATGTCATGTTGATATTTTAAAAACATAATTCTGAATTTAAAATTCGTTTTAGTGTTATACGAAATTCGAATAAAAGTTGCGAAGAACTCTTTTCCCTAGGACACACATTTTAAATAAAGTGGGTTTTAAAAATGTAGGTAGGTAATGCTTGTGGCTCATTTTTGATTAAAAAGGCTTTGGGTTAGGTCGTTTGTAAATTCCACAAAATGAAATTAAAATTACGTTTGCTATCGTTTTGTTTATCCAGTTATATTAAAGGTAGAAAAATATTAATTTGAATCTCGTTGGGATTTATGAATGTGTTTATAAGAAGGAAAAATATGTTTTTAAATATTCATACAAGATTTGCTTCGTTATTTAGGAGAGCCATGTTTCGGCAGAAATTGACTAACTCAACGCCTTACAGAAAACCAGCGTGAAAAGACGCTTCCGTAATGTTGTGAATGACCTTACCTGACTTATGACTTAACGCCCAATTTATCTCATTGTCAATCCCTACTCTTCCGATCTTTAAATGCTTTTTAAAAGTCAGCATCCGGTGTTGCGAGTGTCCGTGGGCGAGGCCAACCACTTGGTCACCAGCCAGGTGCTTACCAGCAGGTGACCTGTCCACCCGTTTATTGCCCCAAACCCAAAATACCAATTCTGTTGATGTTTTCAACCACATCTGTATTTTCCTTTTAGTATTACAGAAAATTATGGGATGTAAAGAGCACGTTTTTCGCACGATGAAAGTCATATTGAGTATTTTATAAGTCCAGGTTCCCTTCGCTCAGTTGTGTTTGCATAAGGTAACCGCAATAAGATGGAGCCCTTTATATAGCCTGGAGCAGGAGAAGGAACAGGGAAGTTTTTATTCAATAAGACTCTGAAACTCCCCGTCACCCTGGGCGAGAGAAGCCATTTGATGAGTATCTCCACGAAAAAAACGGTTTTTAGCTTACGTAAGTGTATTCCTTCACATACATACTTATAAAGCACACATGTAACTCGGAAAAAGTCTCATAGAAACTTGCCAGAATTTTTATAGTGATTTTAAGAGTATTACAATATAAATCCCGCTTAGATACGACGTTTGTGAAATAATAAGTAGGTTATAAGCAAAGCTTCTTAGCTCACTTCAAAACTTAATACAAGAGTTTGAAGAAAGTTCAAGTGTTGCTTATAATTTCTGAGCGAACAATTTATGTTTGCTTTATTAGGTGTTAGATATTATGTCAGCTTCTCATGTTGATTGTCTTGTTGCTCCTGTAATTATAACATTTTGTTTTGCCGTCTACCATCAGGGAGATATTCGTCAAATATTTCTTGTTTTTTTTCTCTAGGAATCAAGCTAGAGTCTTCTATAAGGTGTCATAGCGGTTTCATGTTTAGTTATCAGTATCGAAACTGTCAGTGATTTCATCTAATTTGTTCCAAGCGAGATTGGGTGTTTTGTGTTTAGAGTTTCAAGTCTCAGTCTTCTTTTTTTTTTCACAAATTGTGACAGTGACGTATTCTGTTAAGTTTTACCGCATTCTTACTTCGGACATACTGTCTACCTAGCCGGAGTTGCGGAGCGAGGGTAATATAATGACCCAGTCTCAGTCTGGAGCACTGGAACGGGGGATATTTTAGTCAGTAAGAGTCTGACACTCTCTCTTGCCCCGCTCAAGGCGAGAGAAGTTCATCTCCCCTACTCCTGTTGCGGTTATCGTAAGCGCTGACTACACGTTTAATGGGGCAGCAAACGTATTGCGGAATGACGTGCGTTGCTAGGCGTTTGGGATTTGAAGATTGAATATAAGTTTGAGGGGGACGCAAATAGACATCAAGTATCCTCACTCACACTACGAAAGCGTTGTTTCACGTCGGATATCTGTAAGGCCGTGTTATTGTTTCAGTTGAGCCGACTCATTAATGCCGAAGCATGGCTCTCCCTCATTTTTGGTTTGTCGCCAAAAGTTCTTAAGTAAGATGATGATAATGATGCCATATTATGCATATTTAGAAAGTAATTTTTTGCCATAGAATCATTTATGGAATATGCTACTCCGATTTTACTTGTCAAGTTTATTATTGCATTTGGTAATCCTGGCATAAAAACAACTGAAAATATCATTACAAAAAATGGACATAAATCAGAGATAAAGTAGGCAGTACAAGTTTCCATAGACCATATTTCAATTCTATCATTCGACTACTTCGATTGCGCCACGATATTTAATGTTAACATATTCTCCATTAGATAAAATAGACCAATAATAGAAATAATTAAAATTTTATAATTAATTACCTAATTTCTATTTTTAGTAGTCGCTTGACCTAACAAAAGCGATGTAATATTTTTTTGATTACTTCGAGTGGCAATGGAAACATTACAATTATAATATTACGCTTAATCTATATCTTTATAAATCGTATGTTATCATAGCTCAACTTCGATATGCTTAACCACTTTTTATTTTCAGAAAATCAAAAATCAAATATCAATACTTACTCAAATCATAGTTGATCATTCTGTTCTCGAAGTACCAAAACACGTAAGATGGCGGCTCAGTGGATCGCTTCACAACGCACACGAGCCTCAGCATCGAACCTTCATGGATGATCTTCTCTGATTCGCCCACTATCTCCGCGTACGCCGCTGTTGACAAAAACCAATATTATTATTAATTATTATTTTTTGCAATAGGGGGCAAATCGACAATCGGATCACCTGATGGTAAGTGACAGATAGATAGTTGAATCTTAACACCAAAGGAGTCACAAGTGAGTTTCCAGACTTTTAAGAAGGAGCCATTTCACATCTTAAAGATTTGAAGGTCGGACTGATTTGCTGTGCTCTAGCATAGTAAATTGCGAATTACTCGGAATCATAAGTTATTTTGAATATTTTTTTAAATTTTATGAATACGATTGCGATAACGTGTTAAAAAGGAGATGCTCTGGTTTAAGTTGTATAACCTATATTCAACACTTCCTAAAATCTTGTAAATAATAATTCTAATGAATATTTTTTTAATGATTTAAGATCTCATAAGTATTCCCCTAATTCTCTAATATAATAGGCACTTTAAGATAGACAAAGGCAGTAAATTAAGGATTTCCTAAAAACGGTTTTTGACTTATCTAAAAACGGTTGGTACTAAATACGCTTGAAAAAGTCTGGATTTAAAGTTTTCACCCTAATTTTCTGTAACGGAAATATGGTTTGGTTCTAAAAGGACTGGATTAAAGAGGAATTCTTGGCAATATTAGAAGAAGGTAGACTGCAAAAAAAGAGGTCAGAAAAAGAACGTTTCTGTTTAAAACAAAATTTCTTAATCACAAATCTCAATTTTGTACTAGAGTAAGTATGACTTTTTCAAACTTTTATCCTGTAAACAAAAAAAAAATGGTATATACTCTTAAAATGAGCATGCAGCCTTTACCTACGTGTACTTGTACACCGTAAAGCGTATTTTTGCATCTCAAAAACTAGGTTAAGACCGCTTGTATATTAAAACCACCCTGTATATAATGAATCATGTGACTTCCTCCCTTTTCATTATAGTGTCGTTACTTTGAATGCGATTACCTCTCGCGGGGTTACGTTTGGTAATTAATATTTTAAGTGGTTATCTTGCGTAGGTATACAATATTAAATAAGCCAGAGAATCTCAAGGGTGACATGAAATTCAGGTATGAAATTACTGCAGTTAAATTAATTTCGTATGTAAAATAGCTTGATTTGTAATTTAGATTGTTTTGTGTAAATACGAATTACTTTATAAACTATGCACTTGGTATAGAACATATGTCATAATGTCTATGTACGTGGCGTTCGTGTGTGTGCTCTAGTTTCGCTATGGTCTTTTGGTAAAGGTCCCCTTTTCTCATGCCAAAATGCTGATGATTTTCCGTGAAAACTGAACGAAATATGCTTAGGCACGAAAGAACTCAACCAGACTAATACCACGGCCTCACAGAAAACTGGCGTGAACCAACCACAGCGTTGTGTTTCGCCGTGTGAGTGAAGTATCAAATGACCAATCCTTCCCTTTTCCATAATTCACAAAACCCTTTATCAACAAAGGGATAGCAAAGAACTTGATGCTCTCATTTGGTTTAGGGGATGTCCAGGGGCGTTGCCAATTAATTACAATCAGGTAATTCACATCTCATTTTAAAATCATCAAATGACTACTCCCGTCCTGGTTGGGGCGAGAGAAAGTATCAAACTCTTACTGACTGATAATCATCCCGTTCTTTCTCTTTTTTTTGCGACGGGGCTGCAGTACATTTTACTTTAATAAAACGCTGATAATTATATAACTACTCTTGAATTAAATTACGCTTTAATAAATTTACCCTACAGACTAAAAACGACCACATTACACTTTTGTCACACATTTTGTTTTAATATTTTTGGGTTCTTATATGTAAAGGAAAATAAAGACAGACAAGGAAGAGGATGGCTTTCCTTAATCTGGTGGACTAGCTTAAAATTTAGTAACGAAGTCTCAAGACTTGACTACCTAGAATAAATTGTCCCAGTGCAGTATGTTATACTAGGGAGTAGAAACCACCTAACAAGATAAGCATAAAAAAGAAGAACATAATCAAACACAAAATACCGCAAACATTAAACATCATCTATTTCAAATATTTAAAATGTGCTTCTTCATTTACAACTCTATGGCCTACAGCATACATACTGAAATAGATAACACATGCTACATTTACGTAAGTGTGATGTTGATTAGCGTTTCAGTACTGGAGTGAGTGGGCTGAGCGTCAAAAACAATTCGAATAACGCACTCGACAAATACGACACTTCAACGCGTTGTTTGACGTTCAGTAGAATTGGACGACATGCCAATAGAGAGGTTTTGAAAAAAAAATCGTTCATTCAATTAGTTCAGTGCTGTAGATTGTTTAGCTATATAAAAATATTCTGTGATCTCTCTTTATATGCAGTAACGAAACATTAAGAGTTTTATAATGCTACAAAGTGGTTTGCCCGCGAATTTGTTCGCGTCAAACTGTGACAGAATGGTGTCCTGTGTATTCTTTAGATTCTTGAGTATCGCAACCGTGCAAATTATATTTTTGTAAAAAAAAAATTGTTTTAATATTAAATTTGCAAACAGAGCCCTAAAAAGATCTTTAAAGAAATTTTATGGATATACAATACCTGAAATTTCAAATTAATATTCGCACTGCGTCGCGACATATTAGTCTACCATGCGATTTTTTTTTAACTGCGAAATTAACTATTGCGAATCAAATTTCTGTAAATAAACACGCTCTTATGCTATAGTGACAAGCAACACTAAATAATATAAACATGCTTTTAACTTAAAATTAAACTCATTTTTTGTTTCTTCTAGTATTCTACTTTTGCTCAATTATGTACGCCTTGCTTAGTGTGTAGTTGCAATCAGAAAGTATTCCGACGCAAAACAATTGACATTGAACGCAAATAATGGCCGACTTGTCATCATTTGCTGAATGTAAACGACCAAAACCGCTTATCATAAATACTGAACAAGATAGAGTGATATAAAATAACAATGCCACCCAACAATGCAATGAAACCGCAGAAAATTAATTCAGTTGTTACGTCCCACAAATTGAGAGGATGGATCAATGAATTTATAATGATAATTTTAATTGACAATTTTCACAGAGGCTTCAAAATGTAACTGAGTAATCACTTTAAAAATAACGACATTTCAACTTTAAATTTGTAACTACCGGGCATTGAATAATTGAATAGTGGACGGCCATTTAAATATTTACCGTATACCTTTTATCAATTGGAATAACAAAATCAGTTTGTTTAAAAGATGTATAAAATTGTAACTGTAAATAAATGAATTTCAATTAAAGAATCAATTAACCCTACTGATGTATTGAAGTTTGTCAGTTTGATTTGACGGATGTTTGTTTGTCGTTCACGAGAGACATTTTAATGAAAATTAAAACGGAAAGACTTTGTCTATATTAAATAATAGGTTTTTTTTGTGTTATAGGTCAGCAAACGAGCGGACGGATTACCTGATGGTAACCAATCAGCGCCGCCGCCATAACGGAGGAGTTACGAGTGCGTTGCCGACCTTTTAGGGATTAGGGATTTGAAGTTTTAAGGATTGAGGAGGGATTGGGGAAGGGGAAGGATTGGGCCTTCGGTAACCTCACTCACATGGCGAAACGCAACGCTGTGGTTACTTCACGAGGGTTTTCTGAGAGGCCGTGGTATCACTCCGGTCGAGCCGACCCATTCGTGCCGAAGCATGGTTCTCCCACAGTTGGAAACAGATTACTTTTTATCTGGGTAATTTGGATAAGCCGCTAGCAGAAGCTAGCATACCACATTTAATGGTGAACGTTTTTACACAGGTATTTATCGAAAATGTTTGGAAAAAGATACAAAGGTAACACTAAAAATAATTCTAAAATTTATTTAAATATATCCAACATGAATAGTAAAAAAATATTCTACTTAATTAAAAACTCAAATTAACAAATTCGTGTCATAGATTAAATCAATTTAGGTACTATCTACTTAAAAAGAAAAAAAAACACAATCCATATTCAAGCATAACTTAAAAAAAAAAGAAAAAATAAAATCCAATCTAAATGCTGAAGACAAAACAAAAGCTGACGTAGGACTTACCAACAAGGACAAGCTTGAAGAAGATACTGGTCGGTGGGTGTGTTGGAACTTGACACTCGTAGTAACCAGCGTCTGCTGATGTCGCAAACCTTATGTGTAACGCCCAGTCCTGGTAGAAATAAATCACGTTAACTGTTTGCAAGAAGTATAAGGTTATCATGATAAAAGTTTTCGTTGAGGGTGGAATCGATTGGTAGGGACATGTTTTGGGGAAATTTTCGCTGATTTCGTTTTCAAAGATTTTAATAAAACTGCCATTTCAGATAAGAACATCACAAAAAATAAATAGTAATTGATGTGGGTTATTAATTTAAAACTCTATTCGATTCGGATATTAAATAAATAGACATATTTAATACGATGCCTTACTGCAAATTCATCTTTGCTTTAAGGTATTATTATGTGTTTTTATATAAAATTTCGTTAATACGATACTTTACTATTACAAGAATGGGAATAAACTCGCTTTACTCTTCATAGAATTCCTAATAGCGTATAGAGCTAACAATCAATTTAGCACCCTAATTCTCAGTAATAAAGTACATATAGACTCAGCAATCAATGCTGTTGTTCAGTAAACAACTAACTAATGAGTACAAGACAATAAACAAACAGCGAACAACAGCAATAATTCGTGGATACAGTTCCGAAAGATTTAACCAAACAAATTTAAAACAATTTTCGATTTCAATCCAAATCCACTGAACTGTGTTGTAATCAGTAAATTAAACAAAAACAAACAGTATAGGAGACTTCCGAACGAACCACAAGGAACAATTGAAAGGAATTTGACAATAATGGGTGTTCTTAAAGGAAAACTCGTTCGTACGTCGAATCACTTTCATCGTTTACCTTACATTGTTCATTTGTACTTGGTGCTACCTACGCCACCTAAGGAAATGTTTGGAACTTTCTTTGATAGCTGCTTTGTTGTCTCTTATCTTCATTTCCAAAACTTTGATCTCAATACCTTAATTTTCTTGAATAAAATTAAAAGTTGTTCCAAGTATTTAATCATTAATTAAAATAATAATTGATGCTATGACAACATTATTGTTCTAATACGTTTAATCTTAGATAAAGCTTTAATAATTTAATCCAGAGTTAAAAAGCAAGCTCTGTGTATTCATCCTTATCCCTTAAATACGTTCACAACATTTCAACTCCGTAACACATCTCATTACAGAGCACAACAATCTCTTAATCCAGCTCTCATTCAGCGCAACACATAACTTTAATTTACACCAAGCTTAAGTAATACCTACATTTGAAAAACTAAATGAACCAGAAATGTAAACAAAGACTACAAAATCCAGGCTCCCTCATTATGCCGACGAAAAGAATGGAGACAGAAAATTCAAATGAAACGTAACTTTTGAAATGGCGGATGGAGCGAGATCGACGCGAGATTAATTTAATCGCAGGCACTTCACCGGGATATTTTGAGAGCACTTGTACCTCATGTCAAGAGATGTATGGATATAAAAATTGTTTGTGCGAAGGGACCGGTGTTGATGATTTTAATCAGGGGAAAATAGGGATGTTTTGGGATATACGTGCGTTGCGTAGAAGTGGTTTAATTTTATGTTTATGTCATGAGCTGGGTGACGTTTTTGTTGAATTGCTGGGAATGTGACAAAATTTTATCTGAACAAATAAAAATGCTGTTATATTTTTACTTCATACACTTGTTAATGTACTTACTGGGCAAGTATGAAACAGAGTTGACATTTTTGCTTCAAACTTTAACACCGACGAACTGTGTACTTGTAAATATTTCACTAGCTGATTTATGAAGTTGTTTCAAACTTGTATGTGAATAGAAAGGGACAAAGCATCCAGCATTCGCGACAGGAAGTTCTTTAAGTTAATTTCTTCAGAAGTTGAAGTGAGCGATCTAATCTAATACTAAGTCATCATTTTCTTGATAAAAGACCGTGGTACCACACTGTAACACTTTAATAAAAGACTAGACTCTACTGAAGAGGAACCGCAAGAAAATTGAATCAGCCGTTGCAAGCGGATATTTCTAGACAGACAAAGACGTTTTATAATGTCCATGCACAAAGGAAGCGTAGAATATATTATTTATTATACATTATACATGTCAGCTTAGTTTTTATTCCTCTACAGTTTTAGTACAAGATGTTTTATTCAGACCGTAAGTATTAAAGATTTTCTAAGATTGGTACGTTGTTTTCAAAAAATATTTATCAAACCCTGTTTGGTTGGTGATGGTTGATGGTTGAGTTGCCATGCCAGGATTCGTTTATTGATTTGTATCTTGAACTTGAACAGAAAATTTAAAAGTGTGATAATTAAAGCAGTGTCTGGAAAAAAATGCATACAATTAGCATAAGCCTTGTCTATTTCAAGTGGAAAATAATTTTTGAAATTTGTGTGTGGAATACATATGTTGCCAATTTGCTTAGGGAGAAATAGGAATAATTTCAAATCATTTTAATAGTAATATACCATGTACACATTTGTGTCCCTCCAATTTGTACAAATCAAATGTATTGTTCGCTGAATATTAATTATTAGGTATTGTCCATTTGATTTCTATTTCAATAATAATTATTTTCAATTAATATTTGGAAGGCTACTTACCAACATTTATGTCTAATGCATTTATCTGTTACATCTATACGAATATTATAATTGCGAAAGTAGCTCTGTCTGTCTGTATGGCTTTTCTTCACGCCTAAACTACTGAACCGATTTCTGTGAAATTTGGTACAGACATAGTTTGGAACTCGAGAAAAGACATAGGATGGTTTTTATACCAAAATTCTGTCGGAAGTCACTATTCCATACGAATGGAGTCGCGGGAAAAAAGTAGTTTCAAAATAATTAGTCAATTTAGATCAAAATGTTATAGAAATGTAGTCAAAATTTGGTTTGCTGGTAAGAAAAATTGCTGATAATCAATATTCTCCAGGTTCTAATCCAATACCTTACACACAAGCATCGAAGATCTTGAAAATGGCTCCAAAGCTTTTGGTCAAATTTTGTATGTTAAAGATTTTGAAGCCAAAAATTTCAAAACTAGCCAGGTTTCAGCTTCATTTTCAGAAAAAAAAACGAGCAAACCGTACTTTTTAGACAAAAAGTGACTTTTACGGTGTGGTTTTTTGCTCCACATAGTAACATTTGTTAGAAACTAGTACTTTCCGAGATTTGGTACCGACATTAAGTATCCTTGGAGATTTTGGAACCAAGATTGAGCAGGTCAATCACATCGACAGCAAAACCACAACCAATAGTTTGGTTTCTAATAAACTGGAAGGGTCTACCGTTACGCCATTAACACATGTTCCCGATGATATTGAATGCAAAGCAGTTCATTCAATTCAAAATGCTTAACGGCTCATGATATCGATTGAGGATCGGTCAGATGGAAACTGTGCTCCGGATTTAGATTCGAATGTTGATTTGAAAGGAGGATTTCATACTACATTAGTTTTTGACGGAGCTTTTGATAGCAAAAATAGTGTTTGCTTTTGATTTAATTTAATTCTATTGGTTGATTGGGTGTCAATTTTGGTGCAGTTCGTTTACGTTTGGTGTTGGTTTGATAAATGATAAATTCGTTATTTAAAAATATTTTCTTTATCGGTTATTGAGTAATTTGAAAATGCACTAAGAAGCACAGTAAGCAGTCGTAATTGAAGTAAATATTATGCTTATGTTGATTTTGTATTTCTTTTTAATTTTTAATCTTAATTGAATTAAGTATTTTTTCTGGATTGTGAGGCAGACAAGGGGATAGATCATATTATGGCAAGTAATCAGTGTCGCTCGTTACGAGTTACAAGAGGATATGAGATAGGAGGATTGAGATTGAGGGATTCACTCATACGGTGAAATATTACACAAGCATAATTTCACGGTTTTCTGTAAGGCCGTGTATCACTGACAAGCCTTCTCTTCTCTTTGTGCTAAAACATGGTTCTCCCATACTTGCAAATATGTTTATTTTACATATTTGTGTCATGTCAATAATGAACTCTATTTTCTTAAGAATATGAGACTTGGTCTGATACTAAACCACTCCTAAAATATAATCCATATTTATACTAATATTTGTAAAACATATTTCACTAACATCAAACATAGTTAATAAAAGCTGAATTTAGATAATGTTTTTGATATAAAACAGGGTTTATGCCAGAAGGGTAGCGGGCGAAACTAGGCTATTTATTCCAACTAAAGCCTTAGTACAGCTTGTGGAATATTATTACGTAACATTCGTACTTTCGTGTTAATATTCTGTTTTGTGTTTACGGCGAGTTTTACAACTTTGACGTTTATTGATTTGTCTGGTCTCCAGCTTAGTATCACTGTCATAATATCGCTATCAGACATTTTAAGTTTGGTCATTGTTTAAAGAAACTATGACTCATACAATTTTCTCTTGTGTCCTAGGTGCGGTGAAATGATATTCGAATGTACGAGAGAGTCATGCTTTGACACGAATAGGATTGCTTAACCGGTGTTATACCATGGCCTTAAATAACAGCAACGTGAAGCTTTATACGTGTTTTATTTTTCCGTGCGAGTAAAGAGGGCCACTCCTTCTCTTCCTCCCTCCTCTCTCGCAAATCTCCAAATTTCTTACGACTCCTAGAATGGCGATGCGTTTAAAATTCAAAGACATTATTCTTAAGGAGACTCAGCGTCATATAGCGTGGTTCAGTTGCTGCACCAACCGTAGATATTTATAAATACATATTTTGACATCATCGTTATTATATTCTCAATATTTATCTCTGATTTTCTCGTCTAAAAGAAAATTAGGTCGTGTACACAAAATAACTATCTTCTAAAGTATAATTGAATTTACGAAAAACATTTGCTTTTATAAAAAGCGTTTAATAAAGAAATGTATTGAGGTTTTAAGGTTCTTAATTTGAGACTCTAATGGAGAACGTTCTTGTAAAAGATTTTTAGACATCTTTATTAAGCTACAGATATTTTAGCATTTACTTTTTAGTTTATTTTAAACCCTAGGCGCTTAGAAATAAGGCGACAGATTTGATAAATAATTACATTATGAGAGAAAAATAATTTATTAAAACACTGTCTCCAAGTAGTTAGTGATATTCT